CAAAGGTCAAATTCAGGGGTTTTGCATGATTAGGCTTACGGACAGCGGAATCGATAGCTGCTGCTCGAAACTCACCACAAATGACCTCAAAGACCTAGTGAAGGTACCATGTGCGTATAGGGGTCATACTAAGTACGGGTCAAGGTCAGGTCAGGTCACGAAAGGTCACGGTTTTCACTTTCTGCTACATGGGCGTGCGACACATGTTTTATGGCTTATTTTTCACGCCAAATCCGATGGTAATGGTTATATGTGACCCCAAGTCACTGTGCTGGTGATAAGTGTGTATTGAAAGCATAAAAAATCGTTTATTCCATACATAACTAAACGAGGGCTAAGAAAAAAAGTCAATTTTTCAACTTTTTATTTTTGACATAAAAATGCACTTTTCTAGACGAGCTTTGTCCCAGGAATCTAGTGGTGCCATTTGTTTTCACATGCAATGTTCAGAAGTGCCTCTAATTCGCGAAAATATTTATGACGTCACCATGCCCTATGCATGTTGGAGCTATTTTTTACAATTTGGGGGTCAAAAATCAAGATAGAAAGTTGAAATTTGGGACATCTAATGTTCTAATAGAGCTCTATAACATATATTCCGGTTTTTTGGAAATTCTTAAAATTTTGTATTTTATTAGCTGTTTTCAAAAAAATATAGTTTTTTGAATTTTTAGGGGTGAAAAACGCATTTTATGGAAAATCCGAGATATCCATTTTAAAGAACTTGTTGAGCTGCGTCTTTTCATGTCCTTAATTTGCAATTTGCTTAAAACCTCGATTTTTGGCGATTTTTTAAACATTTACCATTTTGTGACTGAAAACGCCATGTAGTTACATCACTAAAATCGATATATCTAAAAAAAAAATTGATAAATTTTTCTTAAAAATTGCACAGGAGACGTCAAATTGATGGGGGAGAAGGTATGCGAGGTTTCAAGTTGATAGCGCAAGCAGTTCATGAGTTATTCAAGAAAAACGGAGGGGGGTCGGATCCGACCCCCCAGGCGGTCGCAGGTTAATCTTACGAATTTTCTGAATGTTACGTATTTTACTCGATAGGGCAAAAACGCTTTATCACCGTTCATTGCCAAAGAACACTGAGGATGATTTTGGAAATCACTTGAGTTGTGTAACGGAATGCCTGCTACCAGTTTACACGGTCAAATGTGTAAAAATACGCAACACTTCTTCAAAACTGCGATGGCCCATGCCTCCCGGGGGCCAATAACTCCCGGGTCTCCCCTACTCCTTTCTCGTCTCTGCCCTGGACGAAAACTACCAAGTGAGCCCGGCAGTGATTCGACCCTCACTCAGAGCAAGGGTCACCTCGCAAAGTCAGGACACTCCTGAGTTGAGAACCGATACCACAGGCATGTATTCATCTAATTATCCCGCTTATTACGTCAGAAAATAGCTGTGCTGACAGATACGGCGAAAACAAATAAAGGATCAATATAATTTCGATGCACCCTGTAAATTTATGATTTAATTTAACCCTCGCATGTGTAGGGGGGGTCGGATGGACCCCCCCATGGTTTTTCGCGAATAACTCGCGTAAAAAGCGGCCGATCGCGACGAAACTTTCAGTACCCTCACATTGATCAATTTTACACCTACCCTGAAAATTTCATGACCCTGACCCAAATGACCTTTGACCTGTGACCTCTTTTCCGAGACCATGTTTGGCCGGAATCGCGATTTCGCGTATGTCGGCTCGCACTAGCCGCGTGTTTGCAAGCTTTTCGTGGTTTCAAACGTTCAAACATGTGATTTGATGTTACTCCCGTGTGTGTCAAGGTCACCTGAAGGTCAGGTCAGGTCATTGACCTTTGGTGACCTCGGGTGACCTCGGGTCACTTTTTCGAGTTTTACATGTTTCTAGGCTAGTTTTTGGAGCTGAATTCGAATTTAGCAACCATTTGAACATTTAAGAAGTAGTTTTGGTGACTTCGTAACATGTTACGAAGCTGTCAGAGGCGGTTGACACGTACTACGAATACCCGTCACGACGCCTACTGGTTGACCTGACCTGACCTGACCCGACCTGGTCTAAATGCTTCAAGACATCATCTGTGATCAAAACTAACACGATATTCGTGATCAGCACCCCGAAAAACCCCTTAGCAGCCACACTTTACGACTTTATAACAGGTCCCGATTTTCCCGACTTTGGGTCATTGACCTGACCTGGAAGGTCAACCAATGACCTAGGACCTTAAAATTGGGTATCATCGGCTTCCTCTCGTCACGGGCAACACGCTCGTTTTTTCCGCGAAGCTCTAGCTCGATCAGGGGCCAAACGGCAAGGGGGGGTCCAACCGACCCCCCCCCCCCTACACATTAGAAGCTGGCAAACGCCGCACACATGCGAGGGTTAATTATATCAAGCCATGTAAGCAACCTAAAAAGTGTGTGATGTCTTTTAAGTTTCAAAATGTGTAAGGCTTTGGACTTGGGCTTCATATGAAATGGATGGCTGTGATGAGCATCGTTATATATACTATGTAATACGAGACGTAGTAGCCTTTGCTCATATTAATGTTCAAATAATGCACAAAATTGGATATATTAAAATAATACTGATATTTCGCCTTGCGGCATCATCAGAGTACACACATACAACTTTAGGTTTAACAAAATGCAAGAAAGAAAGAGACACGTGCGACTTTACCACGGGAACAAACGCCAGCCGATAGTCAAATCTTGTCCTATATAAGAACATTGGAAGAACCTATAACATACGTTGACTACATTTTATACATATGATAACAAATACATGTAACAGTACGGTAGAGCGAAGAACAAACACACAACAGCAATAGGAGACGATGTGCAGACTGCAGAGGCCAGAGACCTATACCACACACCATGTCGGTCAGACACCAGAGGGCTACCCTAGTAGAGGCCATGTATCTAACTGATTGTTCAGACTGGGACGCCTGTCCCGAATGGAATGGCCAGAGCCTCTGCTATCTTTCTGTCTGCTGCATCTTTGCACCGGCGTATGATGGAGACAGACAGCCGTGGCTCTGACACATTGGGGTGACACTGTTCCATATGATCACCAAATGGGGTCTGCCGAGTGCGATTCGCGCCGTCACGGAAATGCTCATCGAATCTATATCTGATACACCGTTTGGTTTCACCGATATAGACTTGCGGTGGTCCTCCCAAGTCAGCACATATGGTGCACGTGATTGTGTACACCACGTTCTTAGTGGTGCACCGACCCGTCAGACCATTGGTGCACGTGCGGCACCAATGGTCTGACGGGTCGGTGCACCACTAAGAACGTGGTGTACACAATCACGTGCACCATATGTGCTGACTTGGGAGGACCACCGCAAGTCTATATCGGTGAAACCAAACGGTGTATCAGATATAGATTCGATGAGCATTTCCGTGACGGCGCGAATCGCACTCGGCAGACCCCATTTGGTGATCATATGGAACAGTGTCACCCCAATGTGTCAGAGCCACGGCTGTCTGTCTCCATCATACGCCGGTGCAAAGATGCAGCAGACAGAAAGATAGCAGAGGCTCTGGCCATTCCATTCGGGACAGGCGTCCCAGTCTGAACAATCAGTTAGATACATGGCCTCTACTAGGGTAGCCCTCTGGTGTCTGACCGACATGGTGTGTGGTATAGGTCTCTGGCCTCTGCAGTCTGCACATCGTCTCCTATTGCTGTTGTGTGTTTGTTCTTCGCTCTACCGTACTGTTACATGTATTTGTTATCATATGTATAAAATGTAGTCAACGTATGTTATAGGTTCTTCCAATGTTCTTATATAGGACAAGATTTGACTATCGGCTGGCGTTTGTTCCCGTGGTAAAGTCGCACGTGTCTCTTTCTTTCTTGCATTTTGTTAAACCTAAAGTTGTATGTGTGTACTCTGATGATGCCGCAAGGCGAAATATCAGTATTATTTTAATATATCCAATTTTGTGCATTATTTGAACATTAATATGAGCAAAGGCTACTACGTCTCGTATTACATTGGGCTTCATATGCTTCAAAATTACTTCCTTTGATCTTTTTTTAAGTTTTGATACTGGTAGGCAGAAATAGCATTTTTATATTTACGCTACTTGCTGTGTTTTGCTAATCACGTCATCTATTTAATCTACTGAGGTAGGTACTGTCACGTGGACCGCGTCCACCGGTCATAGCATCCCGAATGATGACTGCGAAAAGGGGACTCTGGCACCGTCTCTGAAAATGGCTCTCGTTCGCACGTGCGCCACATGACTCCCTGCCCCTCTCCCTGCCTTCAACATCAGCCACCCCCTCGGCCGTCACGACATTCCGTCCGTATTTAGCGCCTTGGCCAGAAATAAACTCGATTAGTGCGGTGTGGATGACTAACACACATTTTCAGCCGAGACGGAATATCTCGGCGACGGGCTATACTTACGCAGACCGAGTCGCGTGGTTATAGCGCCGATAACTAATGAACTATCGTCGCCCCGGGCGTGTTTCCAACCGAAATAGAAGGCAGAGAGCGGTGACCCGGATTTAAATAGCTGTCAACGAGAGTTCCTTGCATTTCTGACGCCTTTGCGCAGATTGCCATTTTTCGTTTTTGACAGCGGAATGCGACGGTTCTAAAACGGGCCAGCCTGGGGCACGGGACTTGTCATGAGCTCATCGTCGTAATATTCGGGATTAGACGCTTTCAATAACATACGTTATTTCGAGGTTAGAGACTATTTGAAGGAAAATATTTACATGAACGATTGAGATAAAAATAATTAAACTTATTTTACCGATATTCAAACTTGTTCCTGACAGGCTCTAGAAAGATTTTGGATCCTGCCTGTCGAAGAGCGCACTCCGGGCGGTCGCAGCGGCGACTCGGTCGGCCATCTCTCTGTCTCAGCGGTCGGGGGGCGGAGCTGCTCTCTGGATTATCACCTGCGGCCACCGGTCCGCCACCTCTGCGCCCAGTAATTTGAGCCGGCCCCATCAGTCGCTGAAGCTGCCGGGCACACCATGGGTCGCCTGTGGATCGCCGGCGGTGCGCTTCTGGTGATGGTGGTCGTGGGGTGTCCGCCGGCCGCCGACACGGCGCCGCGGGTCACATCAGCCGTCGACACCGACGTGGGATCGTCGGGAGCGTCGGGCAATGTCGTTATCGACGTCAGAGGTTCCAGCAAGGACGAGAGCGTCTGCTGCCGGCGCGAGAGCCACTTTGAGCGCGTTGGGGTCGGTGAGTAAGAAATCTTGAGTCGCTGGCTACCACTATGTACAACACAAAATTGTCTACAGGTAACTTCTTTCCCAATAGGAGAAAAACATCAACGAAACAGTTTGGTGTAGAGATGTCAATCGGATACCAACTTTTTGGTATACCGATACCAAACCGATACCAAATTGGTATTTGGTATTTCAAGGCGAGTGCATTTGGTATTTTGTTGGTGTTTTGAATCATCACTTATGTAAAGAGGCTGAGAATTTGGTAAAAAGTTGGTATTTTCCTCATATTCCCAGGTCGGTTTGGTTTCGGTATTTTTCAATGGATATTGTTGGTATTTGGTTTGGTATCGGTATCACGATTTTCCGTAATTGACATCACTTTGGTGCATGGCGCATTCCATCAATGCATGTAGCAAAGTTGTCAAAATGACAAAGATAAATTGCAAGTTGTTTAAAGATCATTGTAATAATTGAGGCCAACTGATGCAGCCTCTGAATTATTTCCTCTGCAGGATATACGCAGCACGCTGCTGTTAGTGATTTAAAACTGCTAAGTCTTGCATTAATTTCACTACGCGCTACATGCAAAAATATTGCTTAATAATAATGCTGACAAATTTACCACGCGATGCTGATTTCGTACTTTACTTCCTTCAGTTTTTGTGATGTGATTCTCTTCTCCAACACCTTCAGTGAGCCACTGGACATGCAGAAGATGGTCTTCACATGGTATCTAGAAAGATATGAGGACACCATCTTCACCCTTGCTGCGAGTTTGATTTTGATGTTACAGCATGCATCGCTGGTGTACTCCTCAGCTACGCCACATAAGCAGTGGTTCATAAGATTGCAGTCTTTAGAGTTAAGGGCTAAATGCTCGGCCCGGTGAGGTTGAAGAAGTTTTACAAAGGTGACGTTTCATTCTTCTCGGAGGAGAAGACAGGCGGCAAGTGCTGTTGGTAGGCGAACCGATGTAATGTCCATTATGGCTAGTCTCTCCAACCATGGCCTCACTGTCGCGCTGGACAGCCTCACATAGCCACATGAGGGCAGCTGAAGGCCTCCATTGAAGTTGTGGACGGCAATCGTCGTATCATCTCCTACAAGCCAAAGCGTCCATTTTCAAAAAGCAACTCTTTAATTTCACTCTAGTGGTCCTACCAGCGTTCACAGAGCCTTTATCAGCAGGCAAAAAATGAACACCGGCGCGGTTCATCATGATGCACGTCACTGCTTTCCGAGATTGTTGTAGGTTCCAGTTAACCAATCTCAACAACCTTTTCACCATTAGCAAACAACTAACTGCTTGCCTTCTATTGCACTTTGCAGATCAAGAATATTGCAACTAGTTTTGAAATGATAGAGGAATGAAAAACTGTCAAATTTATTCCGAACACCCTGTATAAGCAAAAGTATTTCTTTCACTTAAAAGTTATAAGTAGGTAACGTGACTGGCTGATAAGAGAAGCCGGTGTAAGAAAATCAGATATGGTAGCATGGGCTACGCAAGTAGGTATGTAGCTTGCCTGGCAAACTTTTAGTTGTACTTACATGTATGGCAAGCCTTACCATACAAGTAAGAGTACAGTCGGGTACAGGTTGATGGTCCACTACTCTTTATCCACCGGGTTCCTATGGCTCAGCATTGGCAGCAGCCGCCTGGTACCGGTAGGCTGTGCCGCATGACCCAAGAGTGAAACGGCACAGCCTACCCATGTATGACACCGGCTCGGGTCGCCTGGTAGAGCGACTTGACCGGACGCTGTGTCACACCGGCTGGTGGGGGGGGGGGGGGCAAGGTACAGGCCTGTCGATTTGGCTCGGCTCGGTGGATGAGGCGGGCTGGAGTGTGGTGTGGGGAGGGAGTGAGCGGACCTGGGGCCTGGGCGTGTGTGGTCACTTGTCGCATAGAACCGATCGTATCCCCCTCCAAAAATTCGCTTTAAAGAAAGTCACAAAACCCATGGGGGGGTCAACCACCCATCTCCCAAGTGGGGCGCGGAAGGACAGGTAAGGGCGCATACGGTCTCCTCATGAATTGCAGCAAAGAAAGAAAACAGGTCAGTCACCAAATAATCTTTCTGTCGGGAAATTCAGCCGAACGCATTTTCCGTGTTTGGGGAGCATGTTCCACCCTCCTATCCAAAAACCGAACAGACGGTGACAGATAATCTTAGAAAGCGGTAATCAAAATCTCTAAGCGAGACAAATTTTCGATTAGGTAATCGGTGAGGTCAAGTTCAAGGGTCCAGACTACAAGTTTCTTTACCTATTATTGGCTTCGGACTTAACTTACTCCAATTTGGACAATTTACTCAAATTTGACAAAGCGAATCTATAAGGCGTCTGTGGGCTACCGCGATAGGGTGGAGCAGATGAGATGTATACAAGTTTAAAGTCAAGGCCAGGTCAGGTTGCGGTGCCTAGAGAGGCAATCACTGCCTGCAAGTTGCATCTTCCTATGAAATCCCTGACACTGAGGGCGTTGCAAGGTTGCACCCTTTTTTAGATCTTGCAGAATTCTACTGAAAGGTCATAGGTCAGTGGCCTGACCTGACCTGTCCTGGAAATTATGCTAGTAATTGGTATCACAAAATTTGCGTGAATCATAGGTCAGGGTAGGTATGCAAACTTTTAGTTCTCTAATGCTAAGAGGTTTGACAAATCACATAATAATATATTCGAGTGGGCACCAACCTTCCCTATTCATGGCGGGGGGGGGGGGGTGAACATGAGTTTAGGGCTTGATTAAATCAAATTAAGGCGGCACACCGCAAATAACTCATGTTTAAAATGATGCGCTCTAGAAAAAAATGAAGTACTTTTATGATAAAGGAAAAGCCATGCTCGATCTTTGAAAAAAAAGTATGCGCGAAAATTACCTGCCCTTTCATCATCAGTACATCATCATTCATCATTGCTGCGTTTCCAAGCACAGATAATTTTCAGATGTCCTTTTCCAAAAAGTCATGCTGTTTAAAGCAGCGAGGTGAGTCTGTAATTCGGAGCTGCACCCACTGAACGTGCAGGAATCTGCACTGAAAGGACCGCCGTAGATGTCGACGCTTCCGCTTTTCCAATAACTATACCGAACAAGATAAAGACCAGACAAAACAAACATGTCTGTCTACAACTTCGCAGTAACCGATGAACTTAAAAATAACGACTGATACCATGTCCGGAGTGATAAAGGGAAGCCGCCTTCCCGGTAACACTGGCGTAAAATGTTCCGAGATATTGGCCAATACCTGATAGCTTATTTGTGTCCCCTGTTGCAGTTTTTCTTTCTATTGTCAACATAAGCTCAATAAATGATAGAACTAGTGAGTTGTGTTGTGTACGATGCACCTGTTCGATGACAAGTACATGAAATCGATAGCAGCCAGACACCGGGCGAACGATTGTTGGGTGTGGCGGATTGTCGACATGCATTGGTTCTTTACCAGACTCTGTAATCTTTGCAGAACATGAGCTTATCAAATCTGTTTGTGTGTGTTTTTCATCAAGATGAGGCAGATGCTGCTCCTAAATGAGGCAGATGCACGTCGGCAGCAGTGTTAAATTCATTTCAATTATCGCACTGACAGAGCCGGAGCCCACGCTAAGCAGAGCTAAGAGCTTACTGTGCGTGCGCGCACCCCTTCCGTACGATCAGGCTGTGTCGATAGTTGTTGGTATACGAGGCAAATTAACTAAATTTACTCGTACTTGTATGGCATATTTTAGCGTGCTCATGAAAGCTATACAGCATACATTTACACATTCGATCAGAGCCCATCACACTCGACTGACTTCAATCGGTCGCGGCTGTGCCACCAACCACAGACCATCCCCGTCAGGAGTTTCAGTTATCGAGCGCCGGAGTGACTCTAACCCGGGCTTTTGACACCGTGAGTTCAACACTCTGCGAACTGAGATACAGAACGAACAAATGTCAATAAATAGCATAATATTCGGTATCTATCACCAGTGTAGCTGATTCAACCAGTGCACGCCACAGCTTGGTTTTCAAACCTCAAGCAGGGATATCGTCGGGTCCAGGATGTGGGATCGAGGGGGGAGAGGAGGCCAGGCTGGTGATGACATATACTGGTGTTAGCTGGGCTTCATGCGGAGGCGGAACATAGTGAGCAGGCCCGCAGTTTGGGCTACCGCAACATGAAAAATGCGCATTAATGTAGAGAAAATGTAGGAGTCGCTGGTCACCAAAATGCAGAGTGACTTTCTTACTTCTTTGTTTTAATGACAGCATCGTCCAAGGATTGGTCCATCATTGTGGAAGATTAGGGTGTGAGGCTTGCTTTCGAACTTTTCTGGCTCATGTTTTTTTTTTTAAATGAGACCGCGATATGCAAGATTAAGGCACCTATCATTACATACTTATAAAATGAATAAAAATATCAACATTAAACGTTCTAAAATACCATAGGGTGTCTATTACCAACTCTGATTTGCTAAACTAACATCTAAAAATGTAGACCCAGGTGACCTGGCAGAATGACGCGCCGCTGCGTCCGGATCTGTTCCGAGACACAGTTGTGGATGACGTGGGACGGCCACGGACGTTTGAACGGTCTCCGAAGGAGGATATCCTGCTGCGGGTGACTTCGGCGGTTGATAACCTGCATGCACTGAGCTGCGCTTTGAAATCTAATCAGCACACGAGATGACCTCAGGAACGAGCTGACCTGCACATGGGTGGCGTGGGGTGACTGTTCCAACAGAGCTCCAACAGAGAAGCTTGTTTGGATGATGTTGGATTGGCCTGAAAGCTAAAATCAAAAAGCACGGATAAAGAAGCTGACTTGCTTGGATTTGTTCTGTAGGGCAAACCCTCCACGGCCGGAACGAACGGGGGGGGGGGGCGGGTGTCGTTTCCTCTCCTGATGCCTTTTTTCTTCTTCATCGCTCAAAACGCGCTGGTGCTGTTAGATAGTTGAAAGTAAATGCTCCTATTTTTTATTCAAGTTGAGTCTTATGACAGCAACCACATTTTCAGGTCAGGCCAGTTCA